AGTGAGTATGTGCAAGAAAATGGCTAGATATCATTAAAACACTCTGAACGGTAAATCTTTTTATAAATTCACCATCTTATTGTCAATAGCATGAAAACGATTATGTCATGAATATAATTCCAATGTCGTTTAAAGAAGACTATTACTTGTGCGAGTAACATCTGAATGTTGTCGACTTTCCCATTGCTCATCACGTACCGATGTTTGTTAGAAAACTGTTAATAGCCATAATAAACCAGAAGAGACTAAATATCGGGATTGTCATCAGGTAGTGCGATTGAACCCAACAGGTTTTAATCACCGGTGGGATGACGAATAAGCAGTGCTTTCCGGTCTAGTACTGAGTCGAAATATCTGTCTCATCTTCCCAGGTTTTCAGTGGTTACCGAATAATTTACATATCCTAATATAAACTTATAAAATCTATTAACAGTATGTACATAAGTGATAATCCCTTATAGACATTTAAATGCCATTTTAGTTACCCGATATCTGACTCCAGTTTGATCATTTCTAATTGTTATTGAAATAAATATGTCGACAATCCTCACTTGCAATTATCAACATCATTTGTGTTAGTAAATAACGGAATTAAATAAGTCAAACACGAGAATGAACTTCGAATACATATATTTGATAAACCGTTGATCCAGTCAAATGAGCAGATAAGCGATGTGAAACGACGCGCGGTGGAAAAGGCCGATTAAGCCAACTTTGATTTAACTAAACCTTAATCGATATTTATAGACAGACAAAGATAAATAACATATATGTAGTGATTAAGGTAAGTAGATTACACACATACAATCAAATAAATCACGGTCAGGATTAATAAGCTGGCAAGGGACATGGTGATAATGTGGTCTCGAAGAGACCAATAAATTGATCTGTCGAGAGGCTAGAATAACGTTTGTGGCCTTGACACAATACCAGACCCTACACCATTAAATAAAAAAGAAAGTGATGTTTATGGATATAAGTCAACATGACGAAAGTAGGTCGACGACCAGTGGAAACCTGGGGAAACTGTCCACCGTTTCGTCGTAGTGTAGTGAAGTTTGAGAAGATGAAACTCTTAAGTGAGGTCTAGGAAACATGTGAGGACTACATATCGCAGTAGTTCACCTGTATATTGAACAGTAAAATAAATGAGTTCATGTCCTGAAGTTCTACCACTATGCTCCATCATAATCCCCCTTCACTATTACACACAAATGAAATTCGCCTGTTTTTAAGGATCACAAACCACGAGGATCGAGCACACTGAAGTCACAGAGACAAGGAAGTGTGCATCAATTAGATTGATAAATGTGCCTTAATTCAAACAACTTGAACTTGTGTTTCATATAGTGAGTGGCGAAAAAGCATAACGAAATAGTCATAACTGATGAGTGTTTTAAAAGCGTAGGATCAGGTCAACCAGAGGTTTGTAAAGTAGAGTCATCATGAGTACAGTTCAAGTCTCCATTTAGAAAAATTAGGTACAGTGAAACTTTTTGATGCTTATTTATACTCTCACCTATCGTGATGGTTTTTGGTGGATGGCGTGATGTGAAGGTCTAGTGGCAGCGGCTCAAGCCTATAATCCAACAGCGAAAGTACTTTGGAAATTCCTGATGCCAACTAATCAACAATGAGACTTATTGCAAAATTCATTCACTTTCACAATCACAAATATACAAGCAAATCAATCACCGAACACTGTGGATACTTCTGGTCAGACCAACAACTTTCAGAGCTTGCTACCGCCAGATGAAATTGCTTATGAAAGGAATTGAAGTGAATTGCTTGCTGATAGCAATCGCATCATGAGGACGACTCGTGCTAATCTGATCCGTGAGTTCCCTAAACGTGATTTTGCCGGTTGTGTACTGGTAGGAACACGAGTTTATTTGTTTAGAGGGTTTGATGGAGAACATGCTCTCAAATCTACTCTGTGCTACGATTTCGAAGTAGAATCTGGTTGGTGAGTGATGTACATTGAGTGACCTATTTTGTCTACATTGATTCGATAAATTCGTGGTAATTTTAATAGTTGCTGAACATTTTACAACAATTTTATTGACAACCGACAATTCTTATGATTTTCATGATGTGCTTTCGATAGTTTCATGCATTAGTTAACTAGGAATAGCTAGCTAGTATTGAACAGTTTATGTATGTTATGTATATATAGAGCATCACATCAATAAAGAATAATGACCTATTCGTTTCGACAAATTTTGGTCAATGAATGCATTGTCCTGGTAATGAGATTGACACAGAAATATGGCTCTGAAGTGTTTTCGAATAACCATAAATCCATAGTCAGTTTTAAAGTACGTCGATTCACTCAATAGAGTTCAGTTTTCAGTTCAACTGTAACTATACTCTAATAAATGTCGTATGTACAGAATGAATTTCAAAATTGTTATGATGTGCATGAGATCTCCCTATGTTTATTGAACAGCTTGGCTGAAATGCATGAATTTTTACCGAGAATCAAATTCCACCTACGTCAGCATGGCCAATAAATACCCATCAAATATAACTGTTATTGTAGTTTCAGTGCCGTCCCATAACTGGTAACTTACTGAGTCGAAACAACACTCCATCAGTCTAGTTGAACATTCGATAACCATAAACCCACAAATGGCAAATATGTCTCTACATTCTGATTTTCCAATATTCACACGGCCTATTTGCCATATGAATAGTCGGTGTTTCATTTGACTAAGTCATTTAACTTGACACTATTTCTTTCCAGTGATTGATTGATTAGTATTATTATTAGTATTATTATTAAGTGTCCCTCAAATATAGCGGAATCGTCCGTCTGATTTCTCTTACTCATTGTTTTTAATCAATTTATGTGGGCAGACATTCTTTTGGGTGTGGTTGTTCCTTATCTTCTTCTGTAGTTTATACGTGCAGTTTTTCATCGCTATTATGGACAAATTTTGTACTCATTTGATTTCGAGAGTCCTTGGGTTGTCATAAATCAAGTGGGTGAGCTCTGGCACACCTGGGTGTATTTTTTCTTTTGCAGATTTATGTCGCTGTTGGTGACTAAAGATCAATCGAGTGCCAGCAGACAACACTAAAGTAAACCATAGTAACACTGACTTACTACACCATTGAAGTCCACGTATTTAATCATAAAGCGGCAAAACGCGACGTGATTGATGCTAAGGAAGATGATATATTAAATTAATTAGCTTTCGTTGATAGTTTTAAGTTACTTTTGGTAGTCTCCTGGACTTTGACGGTTAGTGTTGGTGCAAGATTAATGTTTTTAATTGATCTAGCTAGTAGTGTCACACTTCTGAACTGGACATATTTAGTTTCCTGCCTCATATATTGAAACATCGTCCCATTATAAAAGTCAATATTGAAAGGTAGTATAAAAAGCAACCCTTTCAGTGAAAACAACGGCACTGTAATTAAAATTCACAATAAATCAGATAACATGCAAACAAGACTCTACATTAGTAATTGAAGGAATCCGAATTTGAATAATATATTTTTCACTGGTTGAAATCATGAATCCATTAAAGCTAGATCACCATGGAAAACCTGGAAGCACTGGACGGCCATTTCGTCGTAGTATAAGACTCCTCAGCAGTGCACATCCACGATCCCGCTCCTCGCGAGATTCGAACCTAGCGGTCTCGCGCCAGGCGCTTAACCAACTAGACCACCGAGCCGGCCGGCATCCAACGGTGTTAATGTCTAACTTCAACCAATCCACGAAGTTGCGCCACCGTACACCATTGTCTTCAGTGAGCGCACTGCTGAGGAGTCCGATACTAGGACGAAACGGCCGTCCAATGCTTCCAGGTTTTCTATGGTGGTTTAGCTTCAATGGATGCATGATCTCAACCAGCGAAATTTCTAAAATCTCTACACAATCCCTTCTGATAATAATATTATTTTTTTGACAAAAAGCAGCGATAAAAAATTTTGAAGGCTCAATAATTGGAAAGGATATTTTACACTGATGAAATATTTCCATATTCGAATTCATCATTGCTTATAAATTGAATTTCAAATTTCGTCTCTAAGTTTGAGCTTGATTAGTTAAGAAGTTTCTATCACAGACGAGTAGCAGTTAATAAATCAACGCAATGAGCAGTTGGAGAGATCGATCTCTCCCGCTGCTGGTTCTCAGAAGAGGAGCAAGAAAGATGACACCAGCCGGGTCGAATTATGTATCTGATTGTAAAACACAACCAGAGTTATAACAATTTACTCTCAAAAATCATAAGTTGCATAAGAGAAGCCCACTTACAGGCAGCGTCAATTGTTACAAAGTTCACAAGACAAAAATATGAATATGAAGATGCCACAAACATTTGTAACTTGATAAAACTTTAACCAATAGCACCCTCCATAATCGAATTGTGCCCATTCAGTGAAATAAAAAGTTAGAAGCGAGTTGATTCGAATATATATTTGATAGGTTTTCAATAAATCGAGAAGTGACTGATCTAAACTGGATAGCGGATGCAGGAGAAGTTGCACAAGGCGTTCCCGTTCATAGTCAAGTGGGAATGCGTGACCGAGTGCCTTTCAGCTAGGTAAGTCCATTAAAACCAATGTGGTTAGTGTCAAATGTCGAAGACTTACAGAGCAACTGATTATGGGGACTTATTTACCGCTACAACTACTTACGTGGTAGTTAGTATAACTACAATTTTCAGTCGGACACTCTGAGCAAGAAGTGAAATTGAAAATCGATCAAGTGAACGTCGAAGTTTAACTTCTAAGGGATTCTTTGTTTCATTAATTTTGTGATTGCAGCCCACCTTTCAACACAATCAAATATCTGAAATTACGGACTAACCATTTCATCTAAATGCGTTGAATAACGCGTTTTTAAGTTATCTTTCAAACAGAATATTTCGATCAGATGAATTAAGTATAGAGACATTGCCTTTGATTTAGTTGAGAACTACCTCCAATTCGTTTGTTTGTCCACTCCAACTTGATTATTTAAGCATGAAGTTCATGTAGTGGCACAAATTCAAAATGCATGTTTGGAAGCTACTCTGAAGATATGAAGTATGCTCCTTGGTATTTTCTTTACATACCAAGTATGGATGATCATCTGCATTTTTGAAGCTTCAGCTGGTAATTATCCATTTCTCCAGTTATATCACTGCGGAATTTTAGATTGGGAATTGTCATGTTATAACGAATCTCTGCACATACATTGTGGCTCTGAAAAAACAATAATTATTCATGAAGCTAACTTTGGTTATTTTCGTGAGATTCTACTTATTTCAAACTCAACCAGTCGGTGTCGTGCACACAATTCTCGAGAGTGTTGGGTCGATGTGACTGCCAATATATCTAGAAGATGTTCTGGTCATACTGTATGTAAAAATTCCGTTCATTATTCATCTGACTTGTCTGCTGATTTGTTGGCGAGAGAATGTCCTTTCATAATCGACAATGCAGCTGGGCCGACGTTGTTTGTAGAATATGACTGCATTTCAACAAGTAAGTTTAGTGATGTGTTCTGTTGTTTCTAACACTTGCAACCACTATTTTTGGCTTTTTTTGTAATATTAAGGGTGTCTGACTATATGGTCAACCAATACTTGTTTTGAGCTGTGCCGTTTCTAGCTTGGATGTTTTATATTCTTCGTGTTCACCCTCTGACTTTTTGCCTGAAATTAGTTTCATTGGTTTAACTTGACTCATTCACATCCTATTCGATTTATGTAATTTCTCCAAAGTCTGGTCATTATTTAAACTAGGATAAATTAGTGCAGTTACTAGTGTTTTTATCATCAACATGATTTATGTACAGGACCATTTCATTTGACTGGAATTTTATAGGAACCGTAGTTGTTAAGATTTTCAATCCATTAATCTTTTCCCGGTCTCTTCGCTCTCTTAAATTACTGTGAGATATTTAAAGAACTTGCTTGAGTTTTGTATCTATGGCTATTATTTTCAACTTGCTACTTAGTAATACTTCATAGCATTTGATTATAATCATTTCTGTATGCATATGTTATTTCGTTCATAGTCAAGTGGTTTTTTGTAAATTATTCTGTTCTGTAGGTAGTCCGATTCCTTTGGTAATGTTTGCAGAGATGTCTTTGGCAAGTTTCCTATGTATACCATCACATCATGTTTATTAATAAAATGGTCATTAGAAGGAACGTCTTAATTTGCCGTTAAAACTCAATTTCTTGAACTGAATGCCTGATACAAAGTTTTTTCCATCCATTTGAAATGAAAACAAGTGTAGAACTTGTGTAGTAGCCATCAATAGTAATGAATTACTAAAACTAACAACAATAATCAATAATAATTAATTGGCTCAATGGTAACTTTTCATCTCATAATAGTTATTTCTGTGAAATGATTCGGTCTGTTGGTGGTCCATAGAAGGTTGACATAATTTTTATTTATTTAAACATGTAAACACCGGTACGAGAAGGCAACAAGTACATATGTGCTACACATATCATTGTATTAGTGTGAAGGCTAGAATACTGATCGAAAACCCAAGCCGAAACAGGTGGTTTTCTTATTGTGCCTGTAAGCTACAGGTCTAAACCACAAGGCAGTAGATCAACGTTAGGAGATGCAGTCACATGGCCATCGGTGGCCAAAAACAAGTTCATACGCCCTTCGTTCCCTCCGGATTCTGGAGCCCATGTGTACCACCGATTTGGAATCAGAGTTTTCCGACGTCTCTAGGTTGATCTGTATCCACCAACTAGGTTAAAGCGCCCGACATTTGTTCATTACCAGTGTTTAAGCTCTAAATATTTCCTCTTTAAAACCTTGTTAACTTTACAGTTGTATAGAGTAAAAACCTGTGTAAAACCAAACTCTGACAACTTGAATTCGCTAGTGTCCGTTTCGTAGAAAATTTATTTTTGTTTACTTAATGTTTGTATTGATCCGTTTAGATCGGAGCAAATAAATAAATGTTTGTGTTTTGTACAACTAAATAGCCCCCGATTACATTAGCGTATATACTAAAACGTTACTACACTACAATAAAATTCACAAAACTTCGTTTTCAGAAGTTGTAAATCGTTGAAATCTCAAACTGCAATCTTACGTTGTGCCTATACCTAAATGAAAAAATAGAAATAGTCAATAAGACCACTGACTGTCGTTTTTAATATTAACAGAAGTTGTAATATCACATTGTTAATATCATTGTCTGAAATGCGGTCAGCCTTTGTTGACATTTCACTCCTAGCCATAATTCATCTATCCCATGGATAACAATTAAGCTTTTTTACTTATAAAGACTTTTAAAATGATTAAATGAAGTTTTCAGAATTTTGGATCTCACCCAATACAGCCTGTAATTGACAATTTAAAAACGACTGTTTTTGCACACCAGAAATTTAAGTCTTGTAATTGCAGTTGCACAAATGTGAGTAGTAACCAGCCTCCGGGCATCAATGTTTGTGTAGTCATTACTAGCACGTATACTAGATCTGGGTTCTATCCATTTATTTTAAAACCGAGATTCGTTTAATTATCTGATGTTTTACTTGGACTTGGTTACACTAGCTCTCATATGGAATAAAAATGAACTAAATGGAGAGAATAAAGTAAAGATTTGTCTTGATAATTTGAAGTAACCTTGTTTTGTACTGATTTACGTGGATTCAACATGACTTAGCTACAACCATATATTCCCAACTACTTATATTTATGTGTATCTGTCATTTTATTTCTACAACTAAGCAATTTTTTAGCCTTAAGCAATAAAGTTTGATATATTTATGTTGGTAAAATAACGAATTTTTGAAATCACATTGCTTTCTTCCAATCAAGTCCTTTCGTTCACTACATGTATTGATTTATGATAAGTTTATAAATTAAGTCTAAACATTTAAGATATGTGACGTTAAACATAAATGATTTGCTTACATTTTATAGTACATATATTTATTAGGATACCTTAAATTTTCATTTTTTTTAGTTGTTCAGAGAGATAAATAGTTTGTAACTTTGCTTGCTTAAATCCCGTCATAACTGTAGAATGTTTTTTTATTTAAATAGTTAAGTTCACAGACATTTATCGTGGATGCGCACTGCTGAGTCTCATAATAGGACGAAACGGTCACCCAGTGCTTCCAGGTTTTCTATAATGGTCTAGCTTCAAGTGACTCATGATCTCAGCTACTGAAATTACTATAATATCCACAAAACTTCTGAAACATTTATATATTCATGTATTATTGACTGGTCATCAACAGTAATTATCTAATAATGCCTTCGTATTATATATATCCTCAACTTATTGACGTATGTTTGTTTTTGATGTGATACCCAAATAAAAAATAACTGATTGTTAGAAAAATGTATTTTGAGTATGGTTCAAATCTACCATCAAATAGTTGATTATCTATTGTTGCAATCATTAATCAGCTTCTCCAATAAATAATGATAAAAGAATTTCAGATTAGTCAAAAGTGATTTATTACAATAAATTTGTTCATTCACAAGGATTTTGGGTTTGATTTGTTTTAGATATTTCATTTCCGAAAACTGGTTTGTTAAAACTTAATATCTTCATGTTATGTATAATTTTAGTCATGATCATATGGTAACTATTGTACTTTTTCAAACCTGTGTTAATCTAATCCAATCACCCATGATTATATAACGTTCTCTGTTTTCCAACTACAGAACTGTCATTCATTAAGAATAAAAGTGTGTGATCATTATGAAAAATAACATCGATTTTATAGATGTATATCAACTGAGATCCACTTAAAAATGCACGTTTCATAGTTTTGTCGTAAACACTGTATTTATGTAGTTAGCTACGAAGGGAGCTTTACAGTACTAATAGAAATAATTTATTAAATCACTGACTAATGATGTTTGTCGTAATTGGAAACTTTCGCTGACATAACTTGAAGACACTAAGAATAAAGTAATATAAATACATCCTCAAACTTGACCTTTATTTAAAATAATTTCAGAGAGGACAATTAAGTAGTATCACCAACCTTATCATTATCTCTAACCATTGGTTTCATACAAGGATATAGTACAGGAAGAGAGAATTAGTACGTAGAAAGAAAGATATGAAGTGATTTTGATATCATAGTTTAGAGGAAGACAGTGAGTGTATACAGCTACACCATTGTGTTCGATTCTAAACCATGTCACTCACAGTCTCCAACCATTGGTTACGATAGTTACGCGGACCCCAACCAAGTAGTCTGCATTTACCAACATGACTCAAACTAGAGGTTAGTGACTTCAAGCACTGATGCCACGTTCTTCCAACCATCCCCAACACTGGTTAGCATTGCACTCAGAGTTCAACACATAAATGTGTACTTGATAACTGAGTTACCTTGTTCGTTACTGAGAATCTAATTATGAATTTAGTTATGGATTAAATATGGTGTTTTTGGATAGCTGAATTTAAATATAAAAAAAACTATCCATTGATTTCACGGAGTGAAATGCTTTCGACATATACTAGGAATATTTAACCCGAAGAATCTAACCCAGCTTTTGTTAATGCTCAGCGAAGATCGTTTTGCAAGTGTAAGAATGTATAGTTTTGTGTATACCAATTTATATAGAATATCATGGTCGACATCATGAAAGGATTTTAATTAACCGACAAATGAAAACTAGGAGGTACTAAACAGTTATTTCGTTTTAGTATGGGGACTCCCCAGCAGTGAACATCCCCAACCCTATCACCAGGTATCAAACTCAACTTTTATATGATTCAGCTGACATCTGATGGTTTGTATGTTTGATTTCAATCCACTCACAATGTCGTGCAAAAATCTTTCAGTGGATTTTGTGGATAACTATTGAATACTCAACGTGTTTGAACTTCACTGGAACTTTAGAAAAATTTCACGAAACGTATCAGGATCTCGTTTCATGTGTTTATTGAACAGGACCAAAATGATTTATTTAGAAAGATGGTAACAGAAATTGTAAATAGTCTGTACATTAGATTCCAGCTTTTTCAGCATTCATTATTATTAGAATAAAATTGCAAAACATTCTTATTTCCAACTGTTTAGTCAAACTTATTAGGATTAATGTAACGTCATAGATTGTCATCAAGTAAAATTCATTTACACAAACGACTGTCACATCTTTCTATGCACATCATTTATCATTAGTGTTTTTTTTATTTTAAAAAAATGTATAGAATATTAATTAGAAACTGTAATTTCTAAATATCTTATAAACAGTTGTGCCAATTATTCTCAATTATAATCATGTGGTTTCATTATAGTATTTTGATATGAAGAGAAGTCATTCACATGTAATGAATAATAGGCTATTGTATTGAATTCATTGCTTCTTATTTTAATGAGGTATAAGTTCAACACTCAATTTTTATACTTACTTACTTACGCCTGTTACTCCCAATCGAGCATAGACCGCCGACCAGCATTCTCTAACCCACTACGTCCTGGGACTTCTTTTCTTGTTTCATCCAATTCTTGTTCATTTTTCTCATGTCTATCTCCATTTCCCGGTGTAACGTGTTCTTCGGTCTTCCTCTTTTTCTTTAGCCTTGTGGATTCCATGTAACGGCTTGTCTTGTGACGCAGTTCGGTGCTTTCCTCAATGTGTGCTTTATCCGCTTCCAGCGCTTTATCCTGATTTCTTCCTCCGCTGGGATCTGGTTTGTTCTCTCTCACAGTAGGTTGTTGCTAACGATGTCTGGCCAACGGATACGAAGTATTTTGCGTAGACAACTGTTAATAAACACATGTATCTTCTGGATGATGGCTTTTGTAGTTCTCTAGGTTTCCGTCCCATACAGTAGAACTGTCTAGACAGTTGTATTAAAAATTGTGACCTTGGTGTTGGTTGACAGTTGTTTTGAATTCCAGATGTTCTTCAATTGTAAATATGCTGCTCTTGCTTTGCCGATCCGCCTGGAGTCCCTCCGGGGGCTACTGCCGGTCCCAAGCCCGTAGAAAACTAAATCGCTAAAAAACGCTTACCAGAAAACATTATTCGCACCATTTATACTAAATATCAAAAAATAACTTCAACTAGTTTATTCTCTGGTTAGTACTCGTTATCAAAACATACTTAGAAGTTTTATAAAACTGGTACTTTCTGGTAGATTGAAATTTGAGTTGTTAATTTTAATAGTTTGAAATTTTACTTTTGAGTTGTTTAGGCTCGGAACTCATTTATTATTTGAACTATAAGTTTACGTTTTCTCTCTATTACTATTTAATATCTTCAGACATAAGTTCATCAATCGAGGTAGTTGAGAAATTTATTATGTGTGCCTAACCTTCATTTATCTTGGTGGAAAATTTTAGCTCGTTTAGGAATAACTTGGAAGAACGTTAGGGGCACCCAAACTAAAATGTCGTTATCGGCTGTTGGCCTGAGCCATATTGGTTGGTGAAGATTACCTGGTTGAGGTCCGTCCAATAACCGCGATCAGCGGTTGGAGACGGTTGACGTGGTTAATAATCGATCACGATGATACATATACATTCACACTCTGTCTTCCTCTAGATCTGGAGTTTCATTATTCCTTCGTACATTAGCCATTCATTCTGCCTTTTCGTACCATGGTCTCGTGTGTTTCATCTTTTCATTATCATTACTACTACAGTTATTTCCACTCCTTTGCTGTTCATCTCGATGTGCTAATGTGATATGGTAACTAGGGCCAACGAGCGTTTGTTCCAGGCTTTAAATTGACTGTTACTGATTGACTGTTGGACTATTAGTTTTATCATTATCATTATATTTCCATTTTTCAACTGTTGTATCTCTTTCTAAATAGCTCTTGTAACACGAATATCTAATGAAAATCATGTGGATCCTGAAGAGATTGGTGGTTATTTAGTCAGCTTAGATTATAATGAAATAGTAAAAAGTGGTTCAGAATGGAAAAGTCACTTAGCTGAGGCAATGTGTAATCCCAAATCAAATCATTTACCGCATCAGTTCTATTTACCGGCGCCCAAAATTGCAGCAACTAAATATTCAAATGATGATGATGATGGTTTTAGCAGCTACGGTGAAAATGGTCATCGTGAAAATAATCATGATCGTCTACTGAACAAAGGCAATTCGGCTACATTTATATTACGGATAAAAGATATAGATTTGACTAAATCAACCACAAATATGAGTGAGTTATCTGGTTTTTAACTGTCATTCGTTTTATTCATTAAAATCATATTTTTTGCAAAAAGTTATCACAAGCAACGTAGAACGTAGCACAAGCATATATCAGTTCAACTCACTAGACCATATCAACGCAACATGATGAAATTGTCAAGATAAATCCCATTACTGTCTCCATTGATTCTGAGCGATGTTACCCAATGTCTCCAACCGTTAGTCACTCTTATCTCAACCAGGTAGTCTACGCCCATTAACAAAGTAACCAGTAGAAAAACTTGAATTGACTTATCAAATGCATAAAATTTGTCTACACTTTCCAGTGCTATTGTTTTCTTTACCATAATCTATCCATTTACAAAAGCTGTTTTCTGATTAGCTAGTAACTACCTAACATTTCATCACAGTTGTTATAACTTCATCCACTATACTAATAGTTTTATCGACAAAAGCTAAGAAAGAGGACAGAAAGCGATCTATGTTGTTTATTGAGTGCATTTCACTACATCTTCAAGTAGTTTCATAATCAGGATATTATTTTGATCATGCTTAAAGTATCGATATAACCTTTTTGTTCTGCTTAATTATTTGTTGTTTAGCGTAAATTTTTGATGAGAACATTTTAAAGTTTGTTCTTAACATAAATGTGGAGGTCAGTTACATATTGGATAACTCAATTTGAATATTTATGACTCATATTGAGTGAAGCGGATTAAAATCTTATGGTAAACGTAGGTTACTTCACGAGTATACATGTCATATTTTGCCATTTAATACCAACTGACTTCCTCCAACCAACTGACATGGTGGATGTAGACTGTTTGGTTGATGCTTGCACGATTATCATAACCAGTGGTCAAGGACATTGAGTAATATAACTCAGAATCCATCACAATAGTAGAAATATATTAATTCGTTGTCTTTCTTTAGCCATTAAGCCTTAAAGTTATCTTATATTTTTTACTTCGACAAATTTATTCTTTCCTTTTTAACTATACATTGTATGCCTAATGTTTTTCTACTACCATTGATGTGCTTACAACGTCCACTACTATGGGTTTATCATTATATTTTCATCTTACCATGATAATTTGGTGTGCCAATTGGTTTGCTTCTCCGATTTCAACTAATTTATAATCTTGTACAGTCATCATACACTATCATTGATGATAAATACCTTTTATCAGTATAGGATTGTGGAGATTTTTGAGTTGTTAATTGAGATCATGCGCTGATCAATCTTGGTGTTTATGCGTTCGCGCACAAAACTAAAGGTCCTGGGCTTGAGATCCACATGTAAGATCGTGGATACTCACTTCTGAAGAGTCACATTCTAGGACGAAACAACCGTACAATACTTCCAGGTTTTCCATTGTAATCTGACACTGATTAGTTCATGATCTCACTTAAATACATGTTATCTGATTTTGTTAAACATCACTAGATATGACTTCTTATCACAGCTTTTCGGATATCCTCCTTCATCTGATTTTAAATAAATATGTAACTATAAAATCATTTGGGTGATGTAAACTACAAGCTGGACATTCTCCACAAATCATTTGTTGCTAATAATAATAATTATTATTAATATTATTACGTGTAAATCTTGCTGATTAACTTCAGATTAAAGTGTATTGACTACTTCAATATTAACACATTGAATATTCAATATGTTTTCTATCCAATTAAACAATTGTTTAAAGATGATTCAAATAGAATGTTTTTAACAGTGATGTTATAATTCTCTCTTAAGGTTATAACCCAGCTATTCCTATTGCTTAGTATTCTCGGACACAGATTCACTCGACAAGTTCCCAAATCAGAACACGATTAAACAGGAAAGAGACTATTCGAAATAACAAGGTTAGATGAAAGTAAGTAGCACAATAGGATAAACGTGAGTATATTTATAGTATCGACTAGCGCTGATTGGATAAGAATTAGCCAATGAGCGCGCACTAAAGCATTCGTGCATTGCACTGCTTTAATCCAATCTATGTCCCTCTAACAAGTGATCATTTACAAGAAGAAAAACACAACATGCTATTCACTTCATCAATAAATTAAGTTGTTGTCATTTCTTCTTCTCCCAATTCTTTTTCATCATCACCCTCTTCTTCTTCCTAATACTATTATTATTATTATTGGCTTTATTCAATAGTATATTTTCGGTACAACATAGAATTCTCAGTACAAAGTATTTTAACAAGTTTCCATTCCTTATTTCTTGATCGATCATAACGATAACATATTGAGTGATCGCCAATTAGATGTTAGCAATTCAGGTATCAACATCTGAATAATGTATATTCTTTTCCATGCATATTATAAGCAACCACAATGTTTTTGACTGAGCTCTTTTATAACTTTTACAACGAAATGTCGTAAAATTCTCACAAACAGAAATAAGAAAATAGATAACTTGTTGAAATATCCAGGTGGCAAGAACAGACATAGCCCTATGTTATTCAAGCAGGCCGTCCTAGTGTGTGCGTAAGTATATGGATCTATCTATATTAACGGTTTATTTATAATCAAGTCAATAGATTAGTTTTAGTTTTACAATTTTCCACACACACACACACGCACATAAAAAAAAGTTATTTACTAATTAAAACAAAGAACCATGTGATGATACAACAACGTTACTTCATAATAATATCTCAGCATTCATACACTCTTATTCATTTTCATTTAATCACATAGTGATTAAATTAATTTTTTTCTTCTAAAATACTTTATATGATGACGACAAATTTTACTGATAGGTTTCAATGATAATAGATCCAGATATCGATTAATATGGTCTCACTTTCTTCATAGAAGAAGTATAGACATATGCATATGTATGTATATATGTATGATTTAATGTGTGTGTGTATTAATATACGTGCGTATATAACTCAAGTGTATATATAGAATGCAACAATCTTTACTCTGAAAACCCATATGTTCATCCAACGCTCATAGTATATATATATATATATATATATATATATATATATATATATATATATATATACTGCATTTTTTGAGTCCATTGTATGACCAATTCTCAAAGTTCTTAATCGATTTCCTATGTTCAGCAAAATAATTCCACAATAGATGGAATATTATCACCGTGGTAGTAGTACTACTGCTACTACTACAAATAATATTAATAATAATAAGTTAAGGTCACACATAGTTTACATGTTTTTACTTATTTTAAGACAATCGTCTATTATGTCAGATGGGTGTGTGTTGTGTTGCAAAATGAAAGTAATTATCTCTCGTATGTGTACTTCATTATGATCATCATCATCTATGTGAGATTGATGTGTATGAGATAAATGAAAGTAAATAAGTACGTTAAGTTGTAATCTTGAATCCACTTACATTTTTATTAAAAAAAAACAAACGAGTACACCCGGATTTTCAGATATATTGTAGTATAAACTCATTTTGACTGATGTTTTAATACAGTTTACTATGACTACTACCGTTATTATCACTACTAGTAATAATAATATTAACGCTCGGTACAAAATAAATGAACGAGCTTGATCCTGCAGAAAAATGTATTATACACTAAAACGTGTTCACACTTAGTAGACAAAATTATTAAAATAAAACAGATAAGAGGGAATTATCAAGGGAATGGAAAGAAAATTCAGCATGCGTCATGTATTGGTGAAGTAAACTAAGTTGCCAACACAGTGGAGGGGAATAGATTATGAATACAATGGTCTTGAATACTAAAAGAGATATGAGGGCAGTTAACAATTCCCGGCTGATCACACCGTGGAAGGGTTCATCTAGATGTACCTGAAGAGGGAATTAAGTTAGAGAAGGTCTTAGTGACCATGAAGCGTGATCGCAGTGCCCAAGGAACAACTCCTTCAAGTCGGTCACAACCTTTGAGCGAGTAATTTTCGTATTAGCTCCTTACTTATTGGTGTAGCGACTTTAAGTCCGGCTTATTATCACGTAATTTATTCGCCAATCGAAATACGAATTATTCACTCTTGTACTGTACTAAACCAATGACGTCCGATCAGTCTGATTAGCCTAGCAACCTTATTGGTCCTTTGCTCGTCTAGCCCATCCAGCTCAGTCCAGGACATCAATAACAGCTCCCACTATCCGAATTATTTATTTAAAACATACTTGGTTTATATACCAGGCAAGCAGATCGCATCGCACCATAAAATGGGAAATAACACTCATATACAATAAAGCAAAAAAGTGGTTGTGAACGTGGGAGACTAATCAATAGACTGAATATAACTTAAGAACAGTAACTCGTATAATAATAATCTATAGGTCAAAATGAACCTTATAATAAGGAGAATATAGATATACATAATCTAATTACTGAATAATTATACCATAAGAACATATAGATAATATTAGTCCATTAATAAGTCTCAGAAGTTACTCGTAATTTAATCTTCGCTAGGATATAACACCTCCCCTTTTTTATAAAGACCCGAAGTTTAGATCCTGATTTCGAAAAAAAGTGTAACTTTAAGTTCACAGTTAGACAGGGCCAATAGTGTTTCACTTGATTCTGGACTCAGGGCTTCATCTACAGGATCTGTTTTTTGATCATCAGATGTCACAACTTCATGTGAATTTAGCAAGATATTGTCTTGCTGTGAGCCGGATAATTTGCCAATATTACATTTTACTTTAGATATAAAGGGATTTGAACACTCCACAGGACATGCCTCTGAAATGGCGATTACTAAACTATTGTTTGCATCATAAATAGATTCTTTATTTTCTATAATATCTGGTTGAATAAAAAGTCTGCCCAAAACTGCTTCAAACAGTTGCTGTTGAAAGGCTAACATCTGCTGATGCTTTAATAATAACTGCAACTGTTGTAGGGAAATCGCCATTCCTTTCCCTTTTTTCTGTTAATAATAATTAATACTAACTCCAAAAAGCACTGGCAACTATTATGGCTTATTTCTCTCCAAAATCACATCACCAATTGTTGTATATTTTTTGCGCAAT